ACATATTTACCATATTTGCATTATTATTACCGTAGTACTTACATGCGCTTAATTGGTATCTATAGTTAAAAAAACCATATACAGTAATTCTCTTCATTCTGAATCTTGGTACACAGGTAGAGGCAATGTCGCCATTGCTGCAGAGTTTAATTTTTACACAGATTCTGAAGCGGCACAGATTGTACTTAACGATTTTCAATGCCCTGTTTATGTAAATAGCTGGGAATTAACACTTCATCATCCATTAGACTGGGTAAGTGTTTGTTTCTCTATACCGTACAAACTGTACGGTTTAATTTTTGCAATTTGATGATTTCATGTCATTTGTAAAGACAAAATATTGCGAAAGTCATTGGCGCTTCATATTTAAGAACTCCAAAAAATCTTTCATTGTTACAAAATTTCATTAATTAAAGATGTTAACATTAGGTGTACATATAGGGATAAACATCACACCTCATCATGTGAAATAATTATCACATCAGCATTTGCCTTATCGCATATAAAATGTGCGAAAGTGACGTTAAATCAATAAATGCATGACCTGAACATGATCAGATGGTGAACTGAGACATTGGTGTACATATTAATTATTGCATCATGAATGAATTTAGAAAATGATACTTTTTATTATTATGCAGGAATGGTACAAACAATGGCAGGAAACAAAGACACAGAAAGGGGAGTTCATGAAAAGTATATGCGAATGTGGTATGAAGTATTACATGAGTGAGCGGGTTGGTATAATTTCTATTTGAATGCAATTTACACAAATAATGTCATTGGTTTCGTTACACTGAGTTGATTAGAAAGCTTTCGTGTATTATAATTTAAGATGCTTTTTCTGTCCTTGATTGGATTGTAGATTTGCCTCTATACCTATATATCTCTGACACGTTTCAAACTTCTCACATATGTCATTCATCACATGTGACACATGTACAAAATCTGTGGCAATTCAGTGCTGAAAATTCACCAAAATAAAGTATTTTTTTCATTCTGCTGAATCTTGGTCATGTATGGCGGATTTTGTTCAAAAAAGACATGACAAAATCTATCAAGTGTAAGCTGTATTCATCCTGTAGTGAGAGATTACAGATTGTGTCCATGTTTGTATTTGAGTGAGGGTAAATTGTATATAAACAGCGCCCTCAGTGTTAAAACCTCTAATTACAAATTACTGGCTACCAATAATAGTGAATAGTGGATTGTTTTCATTTCTTTCCCTTCTCAGGGCAAGGATGAAACGCTTAATCAAGGCTGGGTTGCATGTGATCCTGTTGCCATGGCAGTTGCCATAGATAAGAAGATCATTACGGAGATGCAAGAACTCCATGCCACAGTGGAACTTAACGGCACCTACAGCCGGGGACAGATGATAGTAGATTGGTGTAATCATCTACCAGGTCGTAGAAAATCGTTCATTGTAACGAAAATTAATGTGGAAATTTTAAAAGAATTGATGAAGAAGTCTATTGAATAAAGTGTATTTATACCAGTCAGAAAATATAATATGATAAAGTAAAGTAATTGATAATGAACACAGTTGCACATACATTTGAATGAATAGATTTGGTCCAGAGGGTTCTGAAATAAGACG